TGTGCGCATCTGTATGTTTCATGTGTGCACGTGAATGTGTGTGTGAAGGTGCCTGTCAGTGTGTGGTGTGTGTCCCCAGGTGTGTGTCCACCAGTCTGGCCACATGTTCTTGCACTTTTAAGTCTAAAGTAGATCTGGAATGGCCGAACCAGAATCCCGGGGGAGTGAGCAGGCCCTTCCTTCCCTGCGTGGGGGAGGAGGCTGACCCGCAGGAGACTCACTAAGTGACCCAGGAGTAGCAGCATCTCAACTCATTCTTGTAAAAAAGGAGACACAGCAACCACTGGACACCCAGCTGTGCCCATTCCCACACTGCTGAGGGCATTCCCTGGCGAGGGCGTTCCCCGGCAAGGGAGTTCCTGACGCATTTGACCAGGTGCAGCCACCAGGAGGGCTCTGAACTAAATTGCTCTTCAGCCTGTGCTGCTTCAGCACAAGCAGAAACCACAGCACTCGCCCACCCCCAGGGCCCAAGCCCTGGCTGCAACTCCTTTGGAGAGGTGTCCTGCCTGCCTGTCTCAGTTCCGAGCCCAGACCCTGAAGGGGGCTCATTCTTTCCTGGGCCTGCTGTTTCCCTCTCTTGTTAGTTTCTTGCCTTCCCAAGACAGCCAACGGGAAACCCAAATTCCCATCACTGTGCAGTGTGTTTTGGCATTTTCTCTTGAGAACACCCACTAGAGTTGAGGGGGGAGGACTTCACCTCAGCATTTTGCTGACGAGGTGTCAGAGCTCAAGAGCTCAGAGAGGGAAAGTGACTAGCTGGGCCTTGCTGTTGTCTGCACCCCAAACCCAGCCAGCCGTGGCGACTTGGACTTCGTGCAGCAGAGAAGAAGCTCAATGAGGTTGCTGAGGGCTCGGCTCAGGCCAGGGAACACACTTCTCCCCCTTTCTGGTCCCAGAGCCTATGAAGATGAACGTCAGAGGGGAAGACAGTCAGAGAGGAAGTCAGAGTTATTCTGAGATTTCTCCAGAACCCCCTGGGGTTCCACAGATAGTAGTGGAACAAGCCTTCCGGGGGGCCTGGCCCTGTGCTCTGTGCCGGCGCATGCTCAATCTCATTGACTGACAGGAAAGCCGAGCCAGGCAGTCTCCTCTGTAGCAGAGGGAGCCAGGCTGGCGAGATGGATACCTGAGGGACTGTGCCCCTGCTCACTGGTGGCCATGTCCAAGTGGCATTGACATGGACTATGATCTCCACAGTGACAGCAAGATGGAGGTTGTGGGTGTAACATACAATGACAGGCTGTTGGGACCTGGTTAGAGGTTGGGACTGGTGGGAAGTAGGGTAAGGCCTGCAGCAGAATTGTCAGTGTAGTGGGGTCAGAAGAGGTGTTTTCTGTACATGAGGGCAATCTCTGAGATAACCCTGGCTCTGGGCTTGCTCCTCATTACAGTCCTACTGTCACTCCTGATTCCCTCCAGCACTCAGGAGAGGGCTCCAGGACAGAGATGTGAATTTGGAGAAGAGAGCCACAAGCTGATAGGGCCTGTTATGGCCAGAAGGCCGGTTGGAGTCCTCTCAAAATTCACAGGTCGAAGCCCTAACTCTCAATGTGATAGTATTGGGAGGTGGGGCCTTTGAGAAGTAATTAGGTTCAGAGCAGGTCATGAAGGTGGGAACCCCCGGATGGGATCAGTGTCCTTACAGGAAGAGGAAGAGGCCAGAGGTTCCTGGCTTTCTACCACTTGGGACACAGTGAGCAGACAGCCATCTACAAACCATGAAGAGGCCTTCTCAGAACCTGACCATGCAGGTATTCAGAACTGGGACTTCTAGCTTCCAGAACTGTGAAAAATGACTTTTTGTCATTTAAACCACCAAGTCTCTGATCTCAACTTCTGACAACCTTCGCTAACTAAGATGGGTTCCTATAATCCAAGTTTCAGGGGATCCGTGACTGCAGAGGGGCACAACAGGCCAGCCGTGGGGAGACAGGGGTATGGGAGGAGGGCGGGTGTGAAGCAGATGGGTGATGCTAGTGGAGGGGGTCAGAATGCACCCAGACACCAGTCTGCTGTGCCAGCTTGCCACCCACCTTCCACCTGGGCTGGCGGGACAGGTAAGAATCTCAGACAACCTGCCTGGGAGGACTCCGTGGTTTCTGGACCAGACATGCAGTTTAGCACCGCGCTGTGTAATTAAAGTATGAACAGCAGGGCCGACTGGGCTGGGAGGGCCTGGCACTCAGCTCTGTCTGGGGTAAGGGCCACCGAGTGTGTGCCACACGGCAGCCCCTCCCCTCCCAGGGAGATGGTGTTCTCACAGCTTCTTTCCCAGGGAGCTGAGTTGTGGGAGAAATGCCTGAGTCTGCTGGGTGCATAGAGGGGTCAGCCCCTCCTCGGGGCCTTCGCCTGGGAGTCTGAGAGGCCCCGCTCTCTCCTTCCCTAGTCAGCTGAATCTCTGGCTGACAAGGTTTTGCAGCTGAAAAGCCCCACGCTCGGCCTCCTGACCCCAGCAGGTGGCTCCAGGAGGCCTCAGAGCATGGACTTGGTCTTACACGTGGGGTCCTGGGAAGAAGCTCTTCCTGACAAGCCCACGAGGAGCCCGGGTGGGCAGTTGAGCCTGCCGTCAGACTGGGGGCCGTGTGCGTGTCCGACCTGAGTGCCCAGAGCTTCCTTCCAGTTGGAACTCTGCAGTCTGCGAGCCTCCTTTCTCCAACCCCACACCTTCTGTTCTATCCGGGGGCCTCTAGAAATCGTTTAAAGCTGCCTCTGTGCGACTGAATGGGGAATGGGGCAAGGGGCTGAGGAGAGTCAGAGGAAGGGACTCAGGGAGGAGGACTATATGGCACTATGGACACCTGTGCGATCCCAGGTCTGCATTTTGTGGGTGGCAGTTTGGAGTCTCCATTTTCTTATGCCTTGTGGGAAATGAAAGGCAAGAGTTCAGGAACTTGATGAGGGTTGTGGCCCACCAAAGATGACCTCTCTCCTGCCCTGAGTGAAGGGCTCCAGTTAGTTCACCTTCCCCATAACAGCCACTTTCTCTGCTGCTGGCTGCAGCTGGGAGCACACATGGAAGAACATTCCAGCCCAGCAGAGGTGAATCCAAGGGTGAAAACAGGCTTAACCATTTCTGAGAGGCTGCTCCTCCAGCCTGCACAGGACATGTTGACAGATCTGGCTGCATTTTAAAACACTTGGTGCAGATGTTTATTAGGTAGGCAAGAATGTCCCATGAGACCTGTCCAGACTATCTCTCACCAGAGTTTTACATAGACAGGGAGATCAAGCCCTAGAGAGGGAAAGCCTCAGGGTCCAAGTTGCACATCAGGGCAGGAGCACCTTGGTCCTATGATTCCTAGGCAGGAGGCAGGCTTGTTTGGCTACCTAGCCCAGGACATTTGGTAACAATACACTCTCTTCCATGCCTGAAGACCACCTTTTGGGTGTCTGGCTAGTCCAGCTTTCTGGGCACGTCTGGAGGGCTCCCAGCCCAGTATTTACAGCTGCATCTCAAAGCCAGACTCTACTTGCTGGAGACCTCAGTCTGCTGTCTGGTCCAGGCATGGAAGTGGCATGGATTCTCTAGTCCTGGACATCCAGTCCTAAGTGTGGGCTGTGGGTGTCCCACATCGGGGGGCCTCAGACAGCCTGCAAAATACTTCTGCTGAAATGCAAAAGAGGCAGCTCTTTGGGGGGGTGGAGCCCCAGGCAGTGTGGGAACCGGGCTCAGCCCCGGTTCTGCCTCCAGGCAGCAGAGGCCTTGCAGCCTGTGGTTCATTCTTCCCTCTTCCCTACTGAGGGTTCCCCACTTGCTTAAGGAAGGGGCTGAATGGATGTCTGAAGGCTACAGGGCTGACATCTGTCTCTGTCTCTTTTTCTGTTTCTCTCTCTCTCTCTCTCTTCATTGTACAACTCCCAGAAACAAACTCAAGTTAGCCCTAGTCCTTTTAACTCTGAGGACAAACTGTAAGCCAAGGGGAAATGGAATGATTGTGCCCTTCTCTATTTTTTTGAATTACTCCCCAATCTATTAAAAAAAAGAAGAGGGAAGAAAAACCACCTCTCATAGGATCCTTAATAAATGGACTTTAATCAAGGGAATTATCAATGTGATTCATCCTCCCTCAGGGCAGATATGCAATTTATCTTTCAGCAAAGGGCACAGTGACTTAATACATGAAGCCAAAGAACAATGGCCATTAGTCCCATCTGTCCTCATGAGAAGGAAGAAGCATTCAGTGGTAGTGCCCTGGGCTCTGACCCCATTAGGGACCTCTCCACTGGAGCCCCCATAATGGTGACATCTTAACTAAAACGGAGCAGGGAAGGGGGGTGCACAGCATGTCAGGGGCTGAGCAGAGCTGCACTGGAGTGACCCCTCCAGTTCATAGGGACAGCAGGAGCTGCCAGCTTCAGGAGCAGCAGAAAGCTTCTCGCAATGGCTTCATCTTCTTTTGCTTTATTTGTTCCCTGAGGTCTCAGCCCAGAGGCAGCAAGGAGGGGAGCACTGCCCTAGCTTGCTAGGATACTGCTGTGGGGCTGCCCCAAGGAGGTCGGTGGACATGTTCCTGAGGTCAGCACCCAGGTGGGGTCCCAGAGCAGCTGCTGTCCTAAGCAACTGGATTGTGGGCCAGAATAGGGTCAGGAATATGGACTTGAATGCACTTTTATTTTATTTATTTATTTTCTTTCCCCAGGACATAAATATATTTCTCTTCTTTAGCTCAACTAGAAGAAGGGCTAAGGACCAACTGGACTTGTCTGGCTTCTCATGGTCCCAGCCCCTTACCTGAGCCAGGCCTGGTTGCCAGACCTTGTGGTCTCAGGCTTTTGCCCAGCCTGTGGCAGCCCCACAGCCTCCTGGTCTGCCATGGACCCTGGTTTCTGGAGCCTAGAATCCCAGGGCCTGTAGGGGTGCATCAGTACTGTTATGAGCTGAATTACTCCCAGAACCACAGAACCTCTTAGAAACTTAGAACCACTTGGCAAATTAAAGCATTCTCAGAACCAGGGAACTATAGAAAAAAAAAATCTCAAGCTTAGAAGTAACTTACCTTCTTTCCAGAACAGCAATCTCACATGGCTTCTGAGCTCATCGGCTGTCTCTATGCAAGAAAGCGAATCCTCATGGTGGATGCTCCCAGGGCTTGTCCTCTCCTCCTGGATCTCTGGGAGACCACACTCCTTGAAGTTGGAAAGGGCCAAGTGCCATATATAGCTTCTCATTATATGAACAATAGTTTCATGTGTCACACTTCTGAGTTGAGGTGGTGAAATGTCTCTGTGTCATTCTGCAATGTCCTCTTCCCCTTCAGCATTGATCAACAAGTTCTTGAGCCAAGGTCAAAGCATCCTGAGCCATCTGAACCCTGCAGAAAGAATGGCTCTTTGTGGGGAGATGGCCTACCTCGAGCCCTCTTTACCTGAGCAAGAGATCAACCTGTTCAGATTTGGAGACTGCTTGTTACTGCAGCATAACCCAGCCTGGCCTGGAGGGTGTTTCCAGCCTGTTCCCCAGGAGATGGGACTGCTCTAAGAGCAGCTATCAGATGTGTAAAGTTTGTTTTCCCCTGAAATCTGCTTTCTCTAAACTCTCCATTTCCCACCCAGGAGGAGAGGTTCATCCTGGGACACTCCAGTTCACTCTGTAGGATGGTTCTCAAACCTAAATGCACATCTGAATCACCTGTGCTTTGTCCTGGTTTCATATTCAGTGGGGGCTATGGATTGAATGTTTGTTCCACAAAACTCATTTGTTGAAACTTAACCCACAACATGATGGTGGGGATTAGGTCATGAAGGTAGAGCCCTCTCAAATGGGATTAGTGCCCTTATAAAAGGGACCACAGAGGGTTCTTTCACCCTCTTTCAGCCATGTTAGCCAGCTGAGAAGTCAGCAATCTGCAACTCAAAAGAACCAACCATGCTGGTGTCCTGATCTTAGACTTCCAGTCTCCAGAACTGTGAGAAATACATTTTTGTTGTTTATAGGCCATCAAACCTATGGTACTTTTGTTTCAGCAACAAAAACAGGCTAAGACAAGACAGTAAGTTTGGAGCAGGTCCTTGAAATTTGCCTTTTTAGTTAAGTTTCCAGAGGATGTTGTTACCCGTGTTTTAGGGATCACAATTTGAGAAAAACTGCTCTATATCTTCTGCTAGGTCTCTCCAGAGCCTGCTAACCCAAGCTGGTCATGGCTGTGATGTATGCTATCCTGCCAGGCTCCATAAAACTAACCCCATGCTTTGAGCCTTCATGTTGAGCTGGGTGGTCTGGGGCTGGCTCTGGCCCCTCCGTGGATTGCAAGCTGTGCTGGGCAGGGCTTTCAACCTGGCACCAGGCTGGCTGCAGCAGTAAGTTGGTGAATGTTTATTGAGCACATAAGTCCCTAGGACAAGAGGAATGCCTTGTCTTGCCTCTGAAATCTCTCTGGACTATTTAGAGAGCACCCTGGGCAGCTCACACTGCCCACACTGCAGGCATTGGGGCCAAGGCCAGCTTGCAGGTGGAATAAAGAGTGGATGGTGAATAGAGCACACGGCATCCTTCCTCTAAGGGGGCTCTAGGCCTGGGTGCTGAGGTGTGCTGGTGCCCTGGATATTCACCGGGTCCTACAGTCAGATCTAGGGATTGCTTCCTCTGCCTCACACAGGCCCCTTCTGGCTTCTGGGAAGGATTATGCTGCCTCAGTTTTGCACACGGCCAGGCTAGCTCATGTGTGGCTGCACTCTGAAGGGTGTGGGTTCTGACTTCCTGGGGGTCTGCTGGGCCAGGTCTTCAGTTTTTCTGCCTGAAATGGGTGCATCAAATCTTGAGGTTCTGCCCCCTGTATTGTGTGTCTGGCTGGACTCAGGGCAGCCAGCAGCCAACACTGTGAACTGTGATTTCATTCCCACTGGGTTCCAGTCCTCGGAGAGCCTGGGCAGGCTGTTGCCAGGCCAGGTGCAGAAGGAGTGGCCTGTCAACACGAGCCCCCTGGTTGTTAGGATGGAAGGCCACTAGCTCCATCTTGGGGTATCCTACCCTGTCTCCGGGAGAGGGATGGCCCTGATAAAAGCCTGTGGAGCCTTAACCCTCTCCTTCTCTCCTGTCCTTCCTTCCTCTTCTGCTTCTCTCCTGTTTTAAAATTTTATTATAAAAATGGTTAAACATACAGAAAAAATGAGGGGATAACCCTATACACCCACCCCGAGATTTAACGACTATGAATATTTTACTCTATCTTCATTTTGCTTCATCTTTTTTTTCACATGTAATTATTTCAAAGCTAATTACTGATATACGTTTTACCTGAAACACATTAGTATGCATCTCTAAATAGTAAGAGAAGTTTTTTACATAAATATAATCCATCAAAATGAGCACTAATTCTTTAATATCATCTAATAGTCCATATTCACATTCCCACAACTGTTGCAAAAATGTATTTTGTGACCCGAGACCAAACCAGATCCACACATTGCATTAGGTGTTATATCTCTTTGGTCACTTTCATACTGGAAAGTCCCTCCTGCCCTTTCCCCCTGTGGTATAGACTGGTTGAAGAAACCAAGTCAGTTGTGCAGATTGCAACCAGTCTGGGGACGAGTGGATTCCCAGGCAGGGGTGTTGGGAGACAGGCCCTGCTTCCCACTCCCGGGGGCCATGGATTATCCTGCAGGCATCACACTGACAGGTGCAGGGTCACTTGTGGTTCTACTTTGAAGTCCAGCACCCAGAGACGCTGTCCCTGCTGGGAAGCCACGTTGCTGCTGCTTTTCTGCTTTCACTTACTTGTACAGTGGCCGTTTCATCCCTGCAGCTGCCGCGGGAGCAGCCCTGACATTGTCCAGACCCATTCCCTACAGGCTCCCGGCTGGGCTGTAGCTCTGTCCTGCTCCCCTCCTCTCTCTGACTCATCTCTGGGGCTGGCTTCCAGATCCACAGCTCTGGGCACGGTCACTGCAAACAGACAGAACTTCCCAATCAGCCCCGTGGTGAGGGGCCAGGGACTGCTCTGGTGGAACTCGTCAAGCAGTGAGGTCAATGGGAGGTAACATTTTTTTCCCCTCTCAGATGGGGAAAAGTAAAAGTGGATCATATCCTGTGGTATCAAGGATGCAGAAAGATGGTCTTCGCCTCTTTGGGAAGAATGGGGATTACACAGCTTTTTGGAAAACCAATTGGTAACACTTATCACCATGAAAAATGTGTAAGCCTTTTCATCCACCCCGTCCATCCATTCATTCAACAAGTATTTATTAAATTCCTACTATGTGGGAGACGCTCTTCTAGATGTCAAGGAGACCGCACAGAATGAGACAGATAGAATTGTGAAAACCGTATTCTAGAGGGAAAAACAGACAGCGAGCAAACAAAATATCTACTGTAATTTATAACAAATGCCATCGATAAAAATAAAACAGGGTCAGGAATGAAGAGTATAGGGTATGTTGCGGTTCTTTCAATCCTTTGGCCCAGGAATCTCATTTTTCTCACAGAAAATGTTTACACATGTGCACAGACACGCATGCACACAAATGTTCATAAGAGCAGAAAAGTCGTAAGCCCGCTGGCTGCCGGGCAATGGACAAGATGGTAAGTGGGTCATCTATGGCACAGACGGATGATCTGCTGCCATTAAAAAGACTGAGGCAGCTTGACATGTACCAACAAGAAAGGACCTTGGTCATGTTCAGCAAAAGCAACATGTCTTAAAATAATATGCATAGTAGGATCTGTAGGAGTAAAATAATACTTAAAAATATTTGTAGATGCAAAGAGAAAAGTCTAGAAAGACTGAACACTGGTGATTAAGGAGGGGGAAGAGAGGGGCTGATTATAAAATGGGATACTCACTTCTTACCCCAAATACTCCTGTGTTGTTTGATTAAATAAAACGAGGGGGCTGTGGAGGTGGTTCACTGGCTAAGTGCCCCTGAATTCAATCCCTGGTACCCACCCCCCAAACCAAAACCAACCAAACAAACAAACAAATACCACTAGCCATATGTTTATGTCTCCAAGGGCTAAATAAAAACAAAATCACAAACTCCACAATGTCACAGCATAGGAGCCTGCTTAGATTTGGGAACCCAGTAGAGAAAGGGAAATTGACACTCAGGTTTATCAAATTGATTCAGCTGCAGCTTTTGGTTCCGGGGGAGAAAGAGAAATGAAATGAGCATTTCCTTCCTAAATTCTAAGTTCTCAGCAGTCTCTGTTGGCCCCAGATCTCAGGGTGAAGGAGGTCTGGAAGTGCAAGGAGAGAGGGTCCCTATAGTCTTGAGTCAGGGGTGGTTGGTAGGCAGGAAAGGTAGAAGGGAGAAGGAATGGGGAGCAGAAGTTCAGCAGCGTGCCCAAGGTCGTGGTTGCTAAGTGACAAGTCAGGTTAATAATCACATCTGTGGAGGTACTTTTTCCACAAGGAAGGTGATGGTCTGAGCGGCCCTTCTCAATGGCACTTGCTCCCAACAGAGGAGTTGGCAGGTCCCTGCATCTGTTCAGAAGGCAAATGAGGACCCTGCAGGCAGACCATGTTGGCCCATCCCTACCTCAGAGCCAGGGGAAATCTCCACCTGCTGGCCCCATCCTGGCTCCTGAGCCTCCTCCTTCCCTGGGAAACAGGGCCCAGGTGCTGCTTCTCTCCTGCAGCCATGAGCATCATCACAGCTGACCTTTGAGAGCCTAATAATAATGATGATATAATAATAATAATTATTATAGTGCTAGTATTGTTCTAAGCACTTTGCAAATAATGATGTTTAATCCTTTAATCTTCTAATTGTAGTTTCCCTGAGAAAACTGAGACCCAAAGCATCTAAGTGGTCCAAAGCCACACAATTAGAAAGGGACAGAAACCAGAATTCAAATTCCAATAATCTTCAGAGCCTATGCTCTGGATTTCTGGATTTCTGAATACTGACTCATCCGAAGCTGGTTAGCACATGTAGCACTTCCTATGTGCTGCGCATGGCTGTAAGTACCATATACTAATACATTAGGTATTAATTGATCTAAGACAACCTGAAGAGGTTTATATCTCCATTCCCCAAGCACAGAAAAGTGAAGTCACTTGCCCAAGATCACAGATCAAGTTAATGGCAAAGGTGGAATTAGAACCCACACCTTAAACAATAAGCATTTAAGTTTGTGCCCTTAAACATCAGACGACATT